CGGGGCTGCCGGCGGCCGCCGCGCCCGCCTCATCCGGGGCGCCGCCGGGGGGCTCGCCCTACCCCGCGTCGCCGCTGCTCGGCCGCCACCTCTACTACACGTCGCCCTTCTACGGGAACTACACAAACTACGGGAACTTGAACGCGGCGCTGCAGGGCCAGGGGCTCCTGCGGTACAACGCGGCGGCCGCGGGCCCCGGGGAGGCGCTGCACGCGGCGCCCAAGGCGGCCAGCGACGCGGGCAAGGCGGGCGCGCACCCGCTCGAGCCGCACTACCGGCCCCCGGGCGGCGGCTACGAGCCCAAGAAAGGTAGGCTGCTGCGGCCGCGGGTCCTCGGGGAGGGGGCGCCCGCGGGGCCCCGCTAGTCAGCACTCCCTCCCGGGAAACCTGGGGAGCGGGCCCGGAGGCCAGTGGCCGTGCAGGCCGGGCCTTTGTCACTTTAGAGAAAAACCGAGGGAGACAGAATGCACCGCCCTTTGACCAAAATTTAGTTGAAGTGAAGGGGGTGGGAAGGAAGAGGACCCTCGCCTTGAAAGAAGGCTTGCTGACCAGCACTATTGGCTTCTCACTGCGCTGGCCCCCTCGCCGCCTTCATCGGGCTGTTTTAGTGTCGGCCGACTGCAAACGACCACGAAATGCAAATTACAGTTTCCCCTGCTGGTTGAGCTCCAGCTACCGGGCGTCCTGTGGGTCCATAGTCTCAGCTGACGCTCCTTTTCTGCCTTTGGTCAGAAGGAAACAAAACGTTCCAGTTGCTCCCAGAGGCCTTAGTGCTTCAAAATAGAAAGCCAGAGCCTTCCCCCTTTCTTTTCCTTTCTCTATATTGCCTCTGCTGCTCATAATTCAGGCTTGAGCTGATAAGACCTGTAAAAGGAGCTCAAGGGGAAAAGAAAACGAGAACTAGGAAACGTGAGCAGATCTGCCTCCATCGGCGGTGGTGGAGACAGTCAGGTTCCCCAAGTGTCTGCCCCAGCGCGGTGGCCAGCATGCCTGGGTGTGTGGGCCGGTGGCTGTGCTGTAGTCTGGGAGACAGATGGCTGTGGGGTCCGTTCTCACTAACTGCCCCCTCCCCTGACAGATGCCAGTGAGGGCTGCACCGTGGTCGGTGGGGGCGTCCAGCCCTACCTATAGAGGGGCCGAGCACAGAAATGCAAGTAAGTGGGCGCCCGGTGTTTCTGCCCACCCTGGGGGTGTCTCCCTGCACCTACACCTTCGACTTGCTTCATTACTGTCTATTTCTTGCTGCTTGTCATGGGGCCTGAAGACAGAGCACTGCAGTCCTCTCGGTCTGTTTCCCTTTAAGCGGGAGAGGACGTGCTCTGTCCCTCTTGTTTGCTCGAGTTCTGCTTTGAAGAATCACTTCGTAACTGGAGTGAATAGATAGATACACATAAGCTGGTCTTTCAGTCTGGGGATTCGCGTGCGACATGGAGCTGCCTTTGCTGCACGAAACACAGCATAAGCAGACACACGCTTCGATGAGCTAGTGCTGCTGAAACTTGGGCGTCAGAAGCAGTCGTGGGCGCTGCTTGCAGAGTAAGACAGAGGAGAAGCACTGGTCTCTCATCAGGCCTGTCACCCCCCCCCCCATGTCCAGATGGACTAGACAGGACCCTGCGTTCCTCTGGCTTACAGCAGTATTTCAAAAAATACCTATTTTACAACTAGGCAAAATTACTCATCAGACGTCTCCATGGCAGGAAAGAGGCAGAACCATTTCAGATTGACTCATTTTTATAATGTGATGATGTTGGTGTGGAACTGAAGGATTTGGGATGATTTGGTTTTTTCCTTGGTCCACAGGTAGGTGTCACAATTGCTTTGGAAAAAAAAGTCAGCAGGCCATTCTCTCTTCCCAAGTTCATAAATATACAGATAGAAAAAGCCGCTCTCAACCCCCACCGCATCTCGTGCCACTTGTAAAAGGAGCCACAGAGCACTCAACCCACAGACTAACGGAACAGACTTTTGTTGGATGTACGTGAATTTGTTGGCATAGTATAGCTTCCCCAATGTATGTGTGACTTTTGAAAACAATCTTTTTTCTCAGGATATCTTGAATTGATCACTTCATTGCCACGGTATATATTCTATAGGTGTGATAGGATTTACTGTAAAATTTATTTGTAAAAGATGTACACAGTAGAAACAAAACGTGATTGAAGAACTTGAGTACTTAAGAAGTGGAAACAAATTTGATATTTATTTTTATAATGATATAAAGCTTCTAGTAATTTATGCAAGTTGTATTGCAATGGAATCTAAACTTTTTGTAAATAAATTCTGCCTGGTTTTTATTTGAACATTGCTGGTTATACAATCTTTGTTGGTTGTTTAACAATAATTCTTTACTAATTTATATCTTAAATTGTAAATAAAACAGACTAGACTACAACAATACGGTGTTCGGGGTTCCTTTTTCTGAGATGAGTGATTTGGGGAAAGGCCTAGTGACAAATGGCAGTCCCTTCGAGGCTCCAGATGACCTGACCTCAGGCTTTTTAATGAAAATGTTTAAAATAATCTCCCTCTTTTGCTCATTAAAAAAAAAAAGCAGCTGGAAGAGAAATACAAGTTGTTTCGATTATTTATATGCCCATGTATTGCAAGAAAATTAAAATTTTGTGTTCTGAATATGCAAATTGTTAGTGTAAATTTCTTTTAAACTTGGCAAAATAAGATGACCTTGTGCCCTATGCATTAGGATCCATTTAATATTTATTTCTGATGCTGGCTTATTGAACCTCTTCAGGAAACTGGAAAATTGTGATAACAGGGGGTAATAGAGTTACGCTCCCCCCCCCACACACACACCTTAAATGACTGATAGAAATAATTGTTTATTTTAAAGCCTGAATTATCCAAATTAGCATAGATTATTCAGATTTATTGAGTGACTTCTTAACTCTCCATTTCATATAACTCACATTAAACACAAGACAAAAACCTGAGAGATTTATTTTCTGCTCCTTGGCCCTCACCCTTACCCTGGGGGAAAGAAAAGTTTAACACCCCTTAGACTATTGCTCCTTACGGTGTCACTCACTATCTAATTACAGGACAAGCCTAGAATTTGTAGTCAAGTAACATATTTCCTTTGATTAGTATCATAAAAGCAGCAAACCTGTCACTTTAATTTTCAGCAAAATTATATGGATATCCATATAATATAATTTCAGAAAAGAAATGAACAATCATTTATTTCCTTTCCAAAGATAAATGGAGTGAATATAACTTACGGTTATAAAACAAGAATAATAGCTTCTCAGAGTGCCCTTTAATCAATCACACACTTATTTTTCAAGAGGTTCATCTATTTTATTCCGTGATTAATAATGCTGCAGCATGAGCACATTATTGCTTCCCAGTGGGGGTCGTCCCGGATGCTTTTAGCCGCTTTGGAATGGTCAGTTGGGGTTCATTATGGGCTGATATTGAACAATTTATAAAATCTTGTCTAAACATCTGCCAGCTCCGATAGGCCGATGTGTCTGAGGATGGGAAATTGCTGGACCAGTTGATATTGACAAACGGGTCTCTCTCCAGTGGCTTTTTGTGCTGTAGAAATTAGTGGCCTCTTGCTGGGGTCTTGTTAGAAAGGGTATTTGAAAGTAATCTTAGGTACTCTAGGCAAAGCCAGGGGACTGTGAACTGGACACAGAGGCAGGCTGGGGGGAGGAGAGATTGTGCTTTGCCTGCAGAGAAAAGGGAGCAGAGTGGGGTTTCGGTTTTCTATGACTTCTTAGGCATTTCCTTGGGTTTGAGTCCATAAGCATTTGGAAGTCAGGCACAGTGAATCTTGGGGGTGGGGAACTCTTTCCCCCCCTTCCTGCTCTCTGCAGTAATAATAGACACGGAAATGTTTGGAGCTGAGCTCTCTGGGCGGCAGGGAAGGCTGTTCACACGGGAGCCTGGCCACTCTGTGGCAGCCTGTCTGGAAGAAAACAAATGTCAGTCTGTGGAAGTCAAAAGGAGCTGGGAGCTCCTTCACTTGTTTTTGTTGTAGACATAAAACCTCATCCAGTTCCTGGGAAGATAAGGATTTTTCCCCTTCAGAGAGCATTTTCGATTACAATATGGAGGTGTTAAGTATAATGGTTTGCTTTTATTAATATCAGCCGTATTTTCTGAACCAGCAGGAATGCAGTGCACGTGGCAGCAATGTCTCTGTTACATATAACATTATAATCTGAGTATTTTGAAGACTTCAGTGAAATGGATGAAAATTAACAATATTTAACAAATGAGACACTGAGAGACCACATACCCTAATTAAGATACAGCACTGAAGGCACTCCGTCTCAAAGTGTGGAGTGCGGGAGTAGAAAACCCAAGCAAAAATTGATCTCGGTGCATATGTTCAGAAACTGGAGCCTGGATAAAAGCCGCTTGGGTTTAAAACGGAAGATTGTGTTACCTGGACATGTGATACGTCCCCCCACGCAGGCACACACCCCAGACAGACCCCGCTCTCGGGGACAACGTGCACCTTTCAGTTGGGGAAAACTCAAAGCAGCTCAGGAGATGAGCCCCGAGTAACGAAACGAATCTTCTTTGATGTTTATATGCCCCACAAATTATCAAAGATTTCCATAACCTACGTACCCACCTTGTCTCCTGACCTGGGTTTCTTTCTGGAGAACTTAATTTTTAAATATACGCTAAGAACATAAAACGTGCAGGTGTTTGGAGGGATCTTTCTATAGAAATGCAGAGTGATTTCCGGGCTCTCCTCTGTGCATGTCCTTAGTTAAGGCGAAGCAGGAAAGGGGGAGGAGGTATCCTTCACTGAGGAAGTTAATGGGGTCTGATTTTTATTTTTACTTTAAAATCCAATTAAAAAGTAATTCGCCGGCTACGATTGCCATGTGCAGTTGTTCCCGGACTGGGGTACATGGGACACCCGGAACCACCCGAGCGGGCGCTGGGGGCGTTGGCCTGGAGGCTGGGTGCAGGTCTGGGCGCGCTCCGGCCTCCGCGGCCCTGCTGCCCTCCGCGGCCCCGGGGTTCATTAGAGCTGATTTATCGGAATTCGCGCTTTAATCTCAGGTGGACCCCGGGGCTGGGCGCTGCTGAGAGCACCTGGAGCGCTTGCCCGGCGGCCGCTGCCTCCCGCGCCCGTCAAATGTCAACATTCGTGCCCAATAAAAGAGTTATTGTTTCTGCAAAGCTGCCCAGCCACAGCCTTTGAAACTTGAAAAGAACTTCATCCACCTTTGTCTGACGGAGGCAGGAGGGGCGGAGCGGAGGGCGAGGACCGGAGCCGGGGCGCGCAGCCTGGGGCCCTAGGGGCGCCTGCCTGCACCCCGTCGCCCGCGGCCACCCGGACTCATTCTGGAGGTGAGAGGGGTCGGGTCGGCTTGGGTCGGCCCTCTGCGTGCGCTTATCAGGTGTCTGCAGCCTGCACCGTGCGAACCATTGGAAAAAACTCGGGAGTGAAACAGTGGCGCGCAAAACCCGCGTGCGTTTTAGGGTCATTTAAAATTGCATTAAACTGTTTATGAAAGAGTAAAGCGGACCTTTCTTTTCTAACGTTACAGAACAAATGTGCCCTAAACTCCCACTGCTAGAGTCGAGGTAAGCAGACATCAGTTTGAAAAAAAATCATTCCAGACCAATTTCTCTTTCCAGTCAGCGGCAGCCCTTTGCAAATGTAAATAATACACTCGATTTTTAGGAAGTTTCCTCCAAGTACCACTACACCGCGATTATCCACCACATAATTTCTCTTCAGTTACTCAGTGCATTGAAAACCCTAAGTAAAAGATTCATTTTAACCCCAAATTAAGGATGTGTAGATCTATTAAATATGTTTTAAACTACTTTTACAAAAAAACAACAACAACATTTAAAACATTTTAAAAAACGTGTTAACCCAAGAGGCAATCTTGGAACAATACACAACCATCTGTGGTATGTGGATATTATGATTAACATCATTTGAATGTCTACAAATTGCAAAGGGGAAATGTCCCTTTGATGTAGTTTCAAACCTTTATGTAAGTGACAAATCCCTACAGATATATTTTAAAGGCTTATTATAAGAAGTAATCTATGACAATATAATTTTCCACTTGCTGAAAATTACTTTCTATTGGCCATAAAAAGCACTCGCCAGCCCTTCCCTTTGGTGTGGCTGGAACGCTAGGGAACTGGGATTTGATGATAATGCACTTGGACGTCAGCCATTGGTAGGTCAGGGAGAAAAAACTTTAACCCCAGTTTTAAGGTGCAAACACCCATTTGCATGTCTCACTCTGCTTCTATCTTTGCATCTCCTGCAAAGGGAGGGATGGTCTCCACTGGCCCGCCAGCCCCACTCCACACAGAACAGCCTGTGTTCCCTCTGGGGAGGCCAGAGCATCCTCCCTCTTTCTGAGAAAGATAGAAATTGAAGATGTTACAAAGGAAGACTCTACTGGTAATATTATAAAATTGGAAGGAGTTATGAAATCTTTGTTGTCCGTTCTTTGCAATCCCAGGTACAAGGAAAGAAAAAGAATGTTTTTGTTTGTTTAAGCCTGGCCCCAAGATAATAAGGAGAAGTTTTTTTGTTCTATATGGTACTGAAGACAAATATATATATATATATATATATATATATATATATATATATATATTTAAGTTTCAGGTGTACAAAACAATGTAATAGTTGGACATTTACACCCCTAAGTGATGAGCCCCCCAATCTACTACCCCTCTGACATCTTTATAGCTGCTACAGTCCCACTGACTCTATTTCCTATGCTGTACTCCACATCCTCTGAAAAAATATATATATATAATTATAGTTGACATTCGGTTAAATCTAACATTCTTAAAGAAGCAGCGTGAGGTTTGGGGCTGCCTCCCAATGGGAACCGAGTCGACCTTCAGAGGAAATGCCCAGAGGGAAGAAACAAAACACAACGCGAGGCAGGCACTAGCATTTTTGTGTGGGGAGATAAATTGACAATTTATTGTGTGTAACTCCTGATCAATTATTAATCATTACTGTCAACAACAGGGTTATAATTACCTTTGGTTATTTTCAGGATATTTATTTTTTCATTCCTCTGACCCTGTAATTAGCTGAGTAATGCATCTAAGACCAGGCCCGCTCCGCCCCTCCCGTTTGGAGACCTTTAGGGAGAACACACTCACCTCCTGTTCTCGGGAACCCCCTCCCCGCCTCCATTCTACCACAGGGCACCATCTCCCCCCCCCCCCAGCCATAAATAATGATTCCAGAGGAAAGGGGGAAGATGACAAACAAATAGAGCGCAGCTGGGATTAATAAGGCTGATCAAAGTTGGCGGGGCCGGGGCTGCTCGCGGCCGCCGCAGGTCTGAGGCCCGGAAAGGTGCCTCCCCGTCAGGATCAAGGGAAGGGCGAGGCGGGCGTTTAACCCGTGACATC